AGTGAGCTAATTGTGTCGTTGTTCACACAGGCGAATATTCGCTAAATTGCGACGCCGGTGCAAATAAGCGCGCTGATTCCAAAATTAGCGCAGTCAGAAGTGGTCTTTATTGGAGCGGCGATTTAGTGAGCTAATTGCGTTTCAGCACTTGTAAAAAGCTCATGTTTTCGAGCGGGCTGCAAAACCGCGGTTTGCAGTCCGGCGCTAATTGCGCGCCAAAGTGTGAACGCACCTATTATGATTTCTAGGCTTAATTTCCGCACTCCGCAGCGAGCAAGGTTAATTCACAATTTGCACTGATTGTTCGGGCATGTTTCGCGTTGGCAATGGTTCAAATGGCCACGCGCAAAGAGTTGTGCCAGTGTTGATGCAGCACAGTATTAATAGCCCGTCACTGCGCGAGTCCGTTTAATTGGAAATTGCAGCTCTGGCAAATTACTTAGTTTTGCACCCGCCCCACCCCCTACCATCCGCTCAGTGTTATAAATGTGTTTCTAAATTCTATGCATTTTGTATCTGCATGTTCTACGGTAAATGGATAACAGCCTAGTCAAGACCAAGGCGCCTTGTCTGCAAGGTGTCACGTGTTTGGTCTGCTAATGAGATTAACACGTGGAGATGGCGTGCCAATTGCCATTGCCATCCCAAAAACACTGGCCGCGATCTACAAGAAATTCAGGAAGCGAATATACACAGAATATTGCCTGTACTTGTGAAGTCAAAAACCTCAGTGTAATCATGGCTATTGCATGTAATGCAAGATAGACTTTGCAAAGTGGGGCACGGAGGAAGGGTGACTGCCAGAGGCATCATAGTCTCTCAAGCAAGCACAAGCTGCTATGCGGGTGCAGTGGAATCTACACCCAATATATAAGCTTCTTTGCCAGCAGATAGACGAATTGTACTGTCTTGACGCAGAAATGAGAATATACGGATTATTTAATTGAACACAATGTGCCTTTGAGGCGGGAGACGCATAGCCATAATGAACTTCAAAGAATGTTTCAGAACTCGACAAATAGCCAAAAATTATGGTTGCATTGCAAACATACAAAAACACGGAAAATTGAGACGTGACGTGAGAATGGCAATTCTTACCTGTGTTTTAATACATGTGATTACCTACTATAGTAACCTAAACTGTGTACGCTCCTGAAAAGTCATGAAAAGTGTTTTGAAATCCTAACTTGTACTTGCTAGGGTTGAGTCCTAGGGTGAGCATAGTGTCAATCAGACATGAGAATATGGCCCACAGTATCCTCAGATTGCAGAAAAGCTTTAAATATTTTAAATTTTCTGGGTGGCATGCCCCAGACGCCCCTTAGCACGGGCATGCCAACGGCACGCGGTCTGCCTGCGCAGGCCTAGGTTAATTTCGACCCGCAAGCGGCCCACCCCGTCCATGCAATTCAGTTACCGATTTGCGAGTTCACAGGGTTGGAGAACCTCCTGCAACTACTTGCAAGTCAAACTTCCCGCACTATGATAGTAATTAAATACCCGACAAGACTGTACATATCAGTGATGACTGCAAATCTGCCACTGCAAGATCAAGGCTGCACTGCAACATTATAGATTCGAACATAAACAGTTAACACGGCTACGCGACCACCTGCCGCGTATGTAAACAAATGTTGTAAAGCTGCATCTACGCTTGTTACAATACTTATTTATAGTCGTTAGTCTGCCTCCATAACAAAATTCGACTTTCCTTTTAATTAATGACCTTCCGATGAAAAAAAATTCATTAGCTTGGCGGTCTACGTCCATTAATTGTAACGAGAATCAAAACGACGAACAATAAGAAACTTTTCCAATGGTTATTAACAATAAGACGCGCATGGCAACTCAATTCCATGTGGCATATAGGACTGGTACCCGGTCGACAGTTCCACACGCGTACGCTAACGTGAGTGTAGCGAATATGCGGAGTAAAGTGGCCGAACAGGTAGCAGTCTAGCTATGCTCTATAGCCTTCGCGTTCGTTTGCCGCTATGCGCACGACATATGTATCTACACTCACAACAGAAAAAACAAAGAAGAAAGTGCAAATCCGTTTTAACAGCAAAACCGATGCGCCGCCGAGTTTGGCCAAAAAAAGTTATACGAGGCATTGCAAGCAATGTCAAGCCTACAGTGGGTAGTGAAATCCGTCGTCATCGCCAGGAACTGCCTCAACTCAGCGAACTTGCCTGCTTGGCCCTTATATTATGTAAACCCGTTGAAGGTATGGAATGGGGGCAGGCGAAGTCGTTTAGATTGGGGCCGCCAGGCGGCGTTTGCGCAGCGATTCGCGCGAATTCATCCGGCTGCAAGACTGTCAAGAATATATACTCATGGTTAATGATGGTATGGTTATTTCAAGTTTCGTTTTTTAACTTCATTTCTTTCATTTTCCACTTTCTTTTTACATCGACTGAGCAAGTTCAGAACTTCAGAGAGAGTTTTAGTTACTTGACTTATGTTAAAAAGACTTGTCTTGGAATCTCTAGAATTCCTGGGAGCGTTTCTGGACAAGGTTTTGACGTTTCATTGTTCTCCTCCCCAAGTCCAAGTAAACCACCATGCTATAGATCAATGGCTGCCGCTACATCCGCAAAGTACAGTTTAGATTGTACAGATTAGTTTAGATTATAGTACATACAGTTTTAGATTGCTTCTAGATATCTTACTTGAATAAAAAAGTCCACTTTTTCTATGTTTAAGAAAAGTGAACGAATTCAATTACAGCTTTTGGATTATCGTGCGTGTCAGGTGTCACTGGCCACCTGTTCACCTGTCCACCTGTCACTGGTGTCACTTGTTCTCTCACTCCCGCACGATAACCCCTGCGATATAAACTTTGATCGGTTATAACAAAACACGGCTGCATTCCATGCCGGCCATGCGCAAATCGATTTCTTAGACTGTGGGCGAGTTTTTGTTCGTGCTGGCGAATCAATACGTTGAGGAGTTCATGCGCTCTAGACGTTCTGCAGCGCCGTAATGACGCGGCGAAGCGCGGAACAGCAAGCACCTGGTGGTGCAATTAGAGACAAATTCGCTGCGCCAAATATTATAACTATATACGCAAATCCCTTTGGTAGTTACAGAAAGCCCGAGATCGTCCAATTGAGCAGTTCTGGCGCTTGCACAAGATTTTTCGACTTTGCACGTAGGGCGAGATAAATCCAATGGTCGTAAATTGTATTTTTTTGGGCTTCGCGCGTTTACGTTTTTCCTAAGTATAAAAGCGATTTTCAATTCTTGAATTTTACGCTCTGACTTTATTCTCGTAATATGCCGCCCATAAGATGCCGCGCCACGAAGGCTCTCTGGAGGATTGCCAGGCAGATATTTCAGACCACTGGTGGCGAATGCGGCTGAGACTGGGCGCGCGATCGACAGTTCGACACGCTGGCTAGTAAGCTAATCACTTTAGTGTAGGGCAAAGATTGTTCGCCGAGTTATCGTGCGCACTCAGTTACGCTCGAAATCGTGACGTGGCACTGTCATTCTCGTAGCCTATGCTTAGTACGCCGTGATGATGGTTGTTTTAGCACTCAGATGGGTTATGTTGTGAACACGCAACCAGCGCGTATGTGTGTTATCAGAGGTGTTATTACCCCCCATGCTCTCATGTTTGGCATCATGACGCTGATTTGATCCATTGTTACACTGAAAATCCTGTCGAGTTGAAAGTAAGATCGCAACGATAGCAATATGCAATTTGATAGTCCTCTGACCCCGCGCGCCGGGTTGCCGGGGTGCCGACGGCACGTCGTGCGAGCAACTGGGCTGGCGTGGCCGTGAAGTTTTACACGTATGCTAAATCGTACCAACACGCTGCCGACTGAACACAAAATAACCCGTGCGCAGAGCGAGGCGGAGAGCGTAGAAGAGAGGAGAGAGAGAAGACAGACTGCGGGAGTGCTGAGAAAGAGAGAAGAATAGTGGGAGAAACGCTCAGATAAGGAGGAAATACGCAAGTGTGACGGTACGACGCGAGGATGTCAACCGTGTCAAATCCATAATCGGAAAACCCCGCGCCTCGAAAGCCGATGTATGCCGAGACCGATGTACGTTTGCCGAAACTCCGCGATGTTACGCCTGCCGCTATACGCATTCGCGCGCCCGCCTTCCTTCGGCGCGCGAATGCGTATAGCGGGAGGCTTACGCATAGCAGCATTCCCGGCCGCGTCGCGCAGTCCCGCGGAAGTGCGCGGCTTAACCGCTATCGGCGGTCGGGAACAACGCATCTTTTTTTTTTTTTGCCCGGCAAGCTCAATTAGGCCATCATTGTGTATCCGGTCTCTCCTGGATGTTTTGGATACCCCCGTCTACGTTGAGGAACGGTCGTATTTGCGCTCCCAGTTTGCAAACTCTGTTTAAACTGCGCGTTTGCGCTAACCGTAGTATTTCAGGTAATTATGAGGGAAAAAGTGCCGGTCAGGAGACCGGAGCTTCGTAGACGATGGTTCCCCGAGCAAAACTTGGTGTCATGCATATAACATACTAACCTTATGGCCAAAATAAACTCTATTTTTTCCCTGTTTTTTTTTTTTTTTTTTTTTTTTTTATTTTCCTATCCATTTCACTGCGCGTTGTCTTATAAAAGGTATTTTGAAAAGACATCCAATGTTGTTGAAGATCCCTCGCGATGTTGTTGACAGTTTCACCAATCTCCAAGCAACCGTGGGCAGCGTGGCCGCGACGCGGTAGCGGCGCAGCAAGATAAAAACATGTGACCGTCATCGTCACCACTTCGAGGCTATTTTGTTTGGGAAACCAGTCGGCGTTATGCGCGCAGAATGCCAGTTTCGTCAGCCTCTTCTTGTGGGTTTTAAAGCAAACGCGCGTGAAAATGGGAGGCAACTAGAGGTTTAATTGTCATAAGGATGTGATTATGCTGACACGAAAGTATTTGCTAGTCTAGTACTGGAGAAATAGCGTTTCGGATGTCTTGTGGAGCGCTTTAATTCGCGGCCCTAAATTGACGCTAGCCTACTAAAGCTTGTACCAACCAGGTCACTGCGACCTTTATTGACCTTGAATCATATTTCCCTTCCGGCTCTCTAACTCGGCCCCTAATTGACTAGCGCTAGCCAAACTATGGTAAACTTCACATCTTGGGGAGGAAGGTGAGGCAACCGTACAAAAACAGTGCAGCTGCGACATCATTGAACTTTACTTTGACCTTGATCATATTTCCCTTCTGCTCTCTAAACCTCCGGCCCTTAAATGAACCAGCGCTAACAAACGCAGGTCACATACGAACGCTTATTGACCTTTACCTTGACCTTAGATCATATTTCCTAAAGTTCTGCCTTTCTATAACTCGCCCTAATTGACCTACGTCACAAAACTTGTACTTACACATCTTGGGGAAAAAGTGTGTCGCATACCAAAACCAGGTCCCTAACGACCTTTATTTGACTCTTTACCCTTGACGCTTGATTATATTTCCCCTCCGCTCAAACTAACTCGGGCCCCTAATTGACCTAGCGCTACCAAACTTGCGTAAAACTTGCACATGCCTGGGAGAATGTGTGTCGCGTACCAAAACAAAGGTCACTGCGGCCGCTTATTTGAACCTTGACCTTGGACCTTGATCAATATTTCCCTCACTCTATAACTCGGCCCCTAATTGACCTAGGCGCGACCAACTTGTATACCTTACACATCTTGGGAGAAGGTGTGTCGGCGTACCGAAACCAGAGTCAACTCGCAACCTTATTTGACGCTTGACCTTGACCTTGACCTTCATCATATTTCCGCTTCAGCTCTATAACTGCTCCTAATTGACGCTAGCGCGACCAAATCTTCGATACTACACATCTTGGGGAAACACGGGGGAATACATGTAAGTGTGGCGACAACTGGCCCTTTCTAGTTTTATTATGCATTTATGCTTAAGCCCATGGGTTGGCTTCAAGTATATGCCTAGTAGCGACTTGCGGCCCCGGTATTTTGCCGCAGCGCACAGCTCGCGGCGGAGCGCGCGCCCCAACGCGAAATACGCCGCCCCCTTTTGTCCCCTATAGACAGAATATCTGAAGAGCAGGGTCTGAAAACGCGGCGCATCCAACGCGACATTTCGGATCGGACGCTATGAGGCCATCTCCAAACGGCCCCTAAACTTTTTGGGTGGCCAGGCTCATGGCTAAGACGTGTGCTCACTACAAGTAAATCTGTCAAATCAGCAATAGACGCGATCCGCTCATCCTGGCCGCTACGCGATGAACGTGCCGCTTCTGCCGAGTATAGCGTTACGTCTATCACAGAGGTTTGAACGAAGACGGTAACGGCGCTCCACGTGGGCTGGCAGCCGCTAGATGCATCTATCTCCAAAAGCGCCTGGCCTCGTACGTGCGAGGTTTTATCAACCTCTTGACCCGCGCGGCTGCCCGTGCGACGGCACGTCGTGCGAGCACTGCTGCGTGGCGTGGCAGTTTTTACACGTACTAATGCGCTATTCATTTTTATCACCCGCCACACTGACACACAAATGATATATATCACATGTTTTTTACGAAAGAGCCGCGGAGCGAGACATTCAGCGCTCCCTCCTCCCCGGCACCACGAGGTGCGGCCGCGCACGGCAAAGTGCCTATAGTCAACAAACTGGCTTCGGGAGTTTTTTGCGCCGCGTGTGACCTTTCGTAGTAACATAAGATTTTGTATTTATTTAGCATTCACTTTTTATTGAACGCTGCAAGTGCATGCTTCTGTGTCCCGGTGCTGCGGAAGCATTGAGCATGATATAGATACTTAATTAAGCTCCGTGGCGGCGAGCGAGCGAGAGAGAGAGGAGAGAGAGAGAACAGACGCGTGGGGAGCTGCGAGAAAGAGAAGAAAGGAGTGGAGAACGCCAGATAAGGTACGAAATATAACGCCAGGTGACCGGTACGNTCTGGTTGAATGGAGCTGTGTAGCTAGCTGAATTAAAAATTAACATCTCTCATATCAATCAAAAAAATGTATATTAATTATGTAGACAAATTAGATGTCATATGTTAGCGTGCGTGATAGTGATTACTCCAGCAGAAAAAATTACTGTGAGTTTGTGCTCTTATAGGCCATAAAACAGCAAAAACTTTTGCTTGCGCTCCGAAGATTTGCAAAAATTAAATATGAAGGTGTTGCCACAAAACAAGCGCTATACCAGTTTACATGATGTAAATTGTTCTAGACCGGCGTTACTCTATCTTGACATGTAGGCAATGGTAACATAGTGTAGAGACAGGGTACCTACCGGTCGATGGCGAATGATATGAGCGAGAATCGTATGCTAGGCCATCCTTAAAAAATTATGTTTGCTGTCCTCCGACCGATCCACGAAAATAGCCGCGACCCGAAAGTTTTGTTTGACATTTTTGGTTTCATATTTTTTTTTTTATAGTTAGACTGAAACAGAGATGTGGGTGTTGCAGAATTGAGGCCAGACTTAAATAAGCTGATTAGTGCCGGCACACACGAGCAAAAAATGACCCTAACCTACCTAGCCCACTAAAAATCATGAGGTCGGGGGACAGGCCGGGATGATGAATTTTGTTGAGGATGGGCGGCTTGTGGAGTGTTGACACTGTTTGCCCTCTAAGGCTGTACGGGGATTACTGGTTAGGCGATGTTTACGCTGGCGTTGGTGGTTGACAAAAAAAATAGAAATCCGAATCGATCGTAGAGACTGCTCAGGTTTGCTGAGCTGCTCTGTCACGTGTTACACGCTCGGTGCCCCGCTGGATGCTCGCTGTGTTGTGTGGGCTGACGCGAGCTAATATCGATCGCACGAAACCGACACGAGAGGCCCGCGAAAACTAACGATCACTCAACTTTTGTTGGCGCGGGAGGTACATTTAATGTGCGACAAAAAGTTTTCTGTTTAAATGGAAATTCAAATCTTACTAGAATATGTGTTTGACTTGTGTAGAATGCCAATGCATACTTGTTGTATTCTATTAACTGATAGCGAGAGTACAGCGTTTATTTTTAAGCGGGCGGCCCGAATCGGCGCTCGCGCTTCCAGGCGCGCCCAGGTAAATGTGTGCATGTTGTGCGCGCTAGTCGCGCTATAAATGTGGTTGAAATGGCGCAGGCCAAGGTCTGTGTGAGGTGACGCGGATGTGTCATCAAAAGCGGCCGGTTCGAGCGAGTGGTGGCTTGGGTAGTTTTCTGTCAGTAGCAGTTGGTCATGGGTGGTGTAATGGAGTCGCGGAGGCCCTGATGAGTCTCTATTCTAGCCAACTTGTTTCAGTAGCTAATGAGAATGCACTGTTCGATGGACAACCCTTTCGCAGGGCTCGTTTTTAACAGTCGTCGGTCGTCCGCGTGCGACAGGATTTTTCTAGGCAAAATAAAATTGCTTTCGTGCGTTGTCTTGGTGCTCAATCTCTATAAAAATGTCTATTATTCATAAGTAGGACGGCAGCCCGAGAGTGCTTGGAGAAGGTAGACGAACTAGCGAGTACCATATATCTTAGGTATTGGGAGTTATAGGGTGTCACACTATAGGACTTATAGAAGGAGTGCGATTCTGGCAGGTCCCCGTTGGTATAGCCAGGGGACCGCCCCAAAAGAGTGATTGTAAAAATGGAGGATCTACATATAGAGTGTATGGTGACAGGTTGCAAGTAAGGTACGAGGCTGAGGATAATGCTGAATGTACAGGTCAGGCAACATATACAGCAGATTGGTAGGTGCTTGTATAGGGCCGCCTGTGACCTCAGAAAGGGGGGTAAATGAGTTGGTAGGCGGTGAGGTAATGGGAGCGTTATTGCAGGGGGTGGGTGNTCATATCATTTCAAACAATTTTACTAGACACCACAACAGCAATAAGTAGCCAGCATTTAGCGCTAAATTAACACACGAATCGTACATCGAGCGGGCCGCACGGAAAGAAAAAAACACAACATCACTCACGAGGAACCAAGCAAAATTCAATTTCAACCAAATAACGATTAAATACACATTTTTCAGGTACTACTGCTCTAACCAGACGCATGCACGGCACCACGCCACGACCACTCGTAGAGTTTTAACAATGAAAACAACACGCGTAGATGCCGCACAACGCACACACAATTCCCTTTCTTAGCTCCACTCCCCTTACTCTCGTCTCTCTCCTCTCTCGCTTCGCCATGTCGCGCGTCCCGCATCTTCATTAGGACATTCTCCGGCCACGTCTCATCCATCTTCACTCTGAGTCCTCGCTCAGATGCATCTTAAGCTCCCCAGCATCTAGGGGCTTGGATCCATATTCCTGGATCCTACCAATTGTTCTTGTTCTTGGTTGCTCTATCTTCTGCCTTTCTACTTTCAGCTTCTCGTACTCAGTAACTTCGTTGGTGCTACAAAAAAAAAAGAAAACGCCAAACGGTTCTTCAAAAAATCCGGCTTTTAGTCAACAGAGGCAAAAGTGAAGCATAGTTTTGGACGATACGAGGCCGAGCTGTATCTCAACTACACACAAGACAGCCTCTGGCGCCGTATGTATAAGGCTGTACGGTTAGGGGCTGTTAGCAGGCGCTCGTATTGAGCCTTCAGTAAATGGCCACGGGCACGGGCTGGCCGTGGCACTGAAATCACGTTGATTTCCTGCCTCGCCGGTTCTTTTCCTAGTGGCTTAAACAACACAAAAATGTGCGGAAATCTAAAGCTTGCTAATCAGCTACTGATGCGCCTGTGGCTGCGCGAGTCAAACGCACCATGTACAAACGCAAACGCAACCACAAGTACAATATCCCAACATAACGCTTTCCCTTCTATTACTCCTGTCTTCTCTCTCTCCTCTCTCTCTCCGTCTCCTCCCGAGCAGCTGGCCTGCGCTCTGGCTAGCCACTACCGTCTGCTCTCGCCCCTCTCTCTCATCCTCTCTCTCATGTACACTTCCTCATCTCTCTCTTCTCCCTCTCTCTCTTCCTCTCTCTCTCCCCGCTCCTCTCTCTTCTCCCTCCTCTCGGCGCCGCTCTCCGGCTTCTGGCCTCTGCTCCTCGCGGTCTTGGGTCTGCGCTGGGGCCTACGCCCACACTATTCCGACGCTCCCACATAGGCAACACGAAACCCGATATCGATCGCGGCAACGCAGGAATGTGACCGAGCCAATATTGCAACAAAAACCACTAGAGCAGTGTCACAAACGGGGAAAACGCGGAAAATGCGCAATTTATTCTAAACTTTGTATCGTTCAGAACTAAGTTTCATTCATTCTAAACGCAGTCTTTGGGCTCTCCTAAAATAAACCAACCGTTGTCTCTACGATACTCCTACAGCCGAGATCTTGAGCGTGATCACGCCTCCACCAGCTCACGCCGCCTCTCGCATGCACAATATCACTATCATGTCTCGCCGTTTTGCGGTCCTACGGCTATCGTTTTTGCCGTCGCCAGACTTGGATGCGATATAATTGATGCATATATGCCCAAATTGGTACTCTTACTACACCATATAGTAACTGAGCTGCGCTTGTAGAGACTCTACTTTAGAAAAATTGCGGCTCCATCATGGACGGCGCATAGCCGTGCAAGGAAAGATAATGG